ATTTTTTATCTTAGGCTTCCAATTGCCATCAGAATTCATACATGTTTAGGGAAGCTTTTTCAAAAGGTTGATCCTTTGATCCCTCTTCCTATTGTCTTTCATTTTCTCCTTTAATACTTTTTCTTCCAATCCTACAGTAGTTTTTTTGTTTTGTTTTGTTTTTTTAAACATTGCTTTGACAACACTTTCTTCAACTTATCCCAAACATACCCTTCCTTCTGCGTCAAAGAGTTACACTACAACACACTTAAATGAAGGAGTTGTGTTCCTCTGGCCCCACTTCAGCACTATCACTTATGGAAGTCTCAAAACAATTAAGTTTTCAAACACAGTAGATCTATGGATAGCGAAGAATTAATCTACAATGAATACAGATATCATCTAACAATTAATAATTTACTGGAATTCATTAATTTAAGATGCTAATCCAATGGTAATAACACAATGTCCAGGATGCTTCTATAGTCCTCAAAATGAGACATATTCAACAACAGTATGAGTTGTTTAGTAAAATGTTGTGAAAGATGGGACAAAGCCTTATTCTGATGCAACTACAGGTAAAATTTAATACACCATTGCAGGCTGTGAATGTGTCACTGTGAAAGCATGGTCAAAATGCTTCTGTCTTGTAATATAAAATTAGATAAACTAGAGTACTAATTAAAAAAAAATCATTTGCCCCTATGCATAAAATACTTCTAAGCAATCAACATCTCACTTTTTTTAAAAAGTCAAGAACATCAGAGTACATATCAGAGGTTTTTGTGTTGAAGTCTGTTATTTCCACTGAAACACTAGATGCTTTTTTTCAGGGAATCTGTACATTAAACTAATCAATAAGTTGCATCAAAAGAAGTCCATGCCACAGATTATGTGTACACACACACAGCTACAGAATATACAAGCACAAAACATTAATACAACAGTATCGCCCAACAGCTCCCAAAACAAACAACACACATTAGCATGCTGGCACGCTTGGTGGCAAACCCTTTTCTTGTGGGGTAGACTCTTTATCATAGAAGAGCTGCAGAATATTCATTGGTTCCAGATCCTATAATCGTCCAACAACACTAAGTTACCAACAAAGAGTTCATAACTTAAGATTTAAGTACACTTCATCAAAATAATTCTAGAAAATCTTACCATTCTTACTATTTGGCCAAGAAGAGTTTTCTTCGAGTATTGTACTCTTTAGGCTTGAGCACCATAATTACACATATCTCCATAAACCTTCCACTCTCTTTGACTGGGGTTCTTCCAGGTATCAAAGGTCAAAATTTGTCCTTCCATAAACTGAATTACCATAGCTGTGTGGATCTGCTGCCCTAAAACCTACAAAGGGGAACTTACATATCATGGGAACAGAGGAGTTACAGACAGTATTACTTTTCTTAGACTGCAAAGAGTTAATGTATCATGTTCCAAGAACCCCAGTCAAAGAGAGTGTATCTGAGGATTTGCCCAGATGATGAAAATTTGGAATTTGGATCATAGTTTTTGATATAAAAGCTAATTCCTTCCCCTTTAAATACACTAACTATAAAAACAACAATTACGACAAGCACACTAAATTGGTCAATGAGTGCAGGGAGCATGCAGTCTTCCTCTGTCTTGCAGCATTCAAGATTATCCCTACATAGTGTGCTGCTATGTTTGTTACAGATGCTCGTGTTTTATCTGCAGCTCATACAGGAGGCACAGCATCCACCTTGTCTTTGCGGAGGCATTAACTCAGACTTTCCTGCCATGTTTCTCCATTAAGGTAAGTGCTCAGGGCAAAATGCACATAGGTTGCTACCAGTCAGCTCTGGCTGTATTATAAATCTTTACAGAAGACTATTTCTAGCTTCTTTGCATTTTAAACTATGTTAAAGCATCATAACATTCAGCAAAACAAAATATATCATATTATAGACTACTAACTACAAGTTAGTAGTACAAGTGCATTGTTTTCAAATTTCTGAGTTTTTGTATAGGCAGAGTTGAAACTGTGCCGATCTCTTTCAAGGATCTTTAAAGTAAGCCAATGGAGATGAAGGCATAATCATATCTACCAGCATAACAAATACCATTTTTTTTCTTCTATTTATTTTGAAGACAGACTTTGATCCTGTTCCCTCATCCAACAAAGCATTTGAACCTGTGCTTAACTTTAAACAAATTTCTAAATCAGTACACAAGCGATAGACAAGGACTCAAAGTGACATGAGTAGCTCTACTCACCTGCTCGTCCAGATCAGCCCTAGAGTATTAACACTTTACAGAACCAAGCTTCTAGGAATACTCAGGATTCACATTAACATCACTCGCTTGCAAACTCCTGGGGCAAGACTGCAACTATCTGCTACAGTGTCTGTTTGGCACGGTTCCATCCCAAAGAGGGATACCTTCATACAACTTCAATCTCAGCACTAAAAAAGTGGGAGTGTTGGATGCATTGGTGTGCAGCTATACGTGCATAGACTTCAGAACTCATCAGCGTAAGAACACACTTTTAAGCAATTAGTAATGTCTTAGCTAATATATCTATCTAATTTTGCCAATCTCTGAATGGACTTGGGACTTTTAAAAATAGGTAGTGTCATAAATCCATCATTCGAATGTTCCTGTGCAATACATCTTAAAAATTACTCTTGTAATATTAATGTTAGAATAGAAATTTGCCAGGAAATTGCCTCAGGACTGTTTTATGTGATACAGCGGGATGAAGAAAATATCACTACGTGCATCTAATTAAATAATAGAGTATTTACATAAAATAAGGCAGGCAGAATACTGTAAAAAAGGAGGATAAAAATCAAATCAATTAAGAACATTCACACAGTAAGGTTCCTCAGTGTAGAGAGAAAATAGTTGCCTTATCACTAGCAATTTACACATCAATACAGTTCATTAACCACGGGGAAAAAACACCAGAAAACAAAAAAAACAGTTACCTCTGTAACCATCATTTCACCACAATTTTTATCAAAAATACAGCAGACTTCCATGAGGCAGTGTAAACACTTAGATGTCATTCACACATATTTCTCACCACTTTGAACATAACCTTTGACACTGCTTACCTTTGCTGAATTTATCTCCTATGCAGTGGAGAAGTGATTGTTGGGGGAGAGAGAGGAACATAAAAGCTTTAGTTTGGCAACTGATATGATTCATCATTATTTCTAATGTATTAGAAAAACCTCAAATGAAATCAAAACTTTTAAGAATTCTAGCTCAAACTGAGGGCAAATAGTAGCTTCTATTTTTATCTTTTTTAGAGATGGCATGGTCACTATCCCACTCTCAAGTTTAGAAAAACAGATCAAAACATTATGATGTCCTAGTCCTATTTCCAGTGCCATAAGTCTTTTCAACATGTACATTCCATGAACAGCAACACTCAGAGAAGGAAAACAAGGAACCTAGTTGTCAATCAGTGAAGAAAATCGGTCGCTAATCAAACAAATCTAATACAGCCATATTTGCTTTGTGCACTGTGTATTTGGACAAATTTCACTTCAGTTTTCCGCGAGAGGAAGTCATCTTGAACATCAGCTTTCCAGGTGCATTTGCGCTCAGTGTTATACTGTGGCAGGCAAAGTGCTGTGTATGTGTAAAAATTAACTTCTCCAGGGAATGTCGGTATTTCAGCTATGCCAATTCCATCTCGAAACAAAATCTGGTTTCTTCATGATGCACGAGAAATTCCTTATAAACACGCTTTCACACAGCTAATCTATTATCGCAACAATGGTAAACTGTTGAGTTTACCATAGCAGTACAAAGTCTAAATTCATTTCAGTGTTGGATTAACCGCAGGTTTTTCTGCTTAATCATAGACATTGGAAGTCTGTGTCTCCTTCCTTCTTGTGTTTGTACATTTCTTTGGCCTTGGCAATATCCAGTTTCTCCATCATTTCAAATTTTTGGAAATACAAGTATTCCACATGATTTACCATGTCCAATAAAAATTTCATCTTGAGGATTTAATTAACCAAACAGCGATAACACATAAATCCCCCTTACCATTTGTCACCTTTGTGATACTAATTTCTTCTCTGACAAGCATTTTCTCCTGGAGATAGAAAATAATTTAATTTAAAAAAACCTTCACAGGATAAAAGAACAAATGACAAAAAAAATGCTTCAGAAATAGTTGTGCCAGAAGAGCATGACTGTAAAAGAAGGGGAATAGATCAGTTGCAACACAGGTAAGAACTTCAAATGTCAAAGACCTTTTGAGCAGCAGAACAAAGAAGCCTCTTGATTTGGTACAGTGTGTTCATTTGTCTTCCATAGAAACTGAGCTGTCTATCATCACAACTGCTTTACACTTTCATCTGAGTTCAGACAACAAACAAGCATTTGACCCTCTTCCTTTCATGATATTTGTCTGAAAAACTCTCAAGATAAGTTTCATAATTTTTCCATTCAAGAGAGAAGAGTTAAAATAATGAAGAATATGTAGTATTAGAACAGTGATTTCCTAAGCAGTCCAACTCTTTTGATGGAACACCCTGAAGCCCTAGTGCTGGACAGTATTTGTCCAGAGCCACACAAAAGAATCAGCTGGAAAAGTGGTCAGTATAGGACACACAAAAAATTTCATATTTTCTTGTCTCCTGCGCAGCCCATTGAATCTGCACAAATAGCTAAACATCTGCAGCCAAAACTGAGATTCCTACTCTCCCAAAGCAGAAAAGCACCACCTTATACACAGAACTAAGGAACTGCTTTCTAAGATCAAAAAGCGTGTGTAGGGTGAAAAATCATCTGCGTGCAAGAAAGCATAGCAAGATTTTGGTCTCATTTAAGCTCCTCTTAAAATTGACTTAAATAAATGTTAAGTGATGTGTACTTTATTTGTTCATGCGTCAGATAAGGGGCAGAATTAACACAGACAGAGGTCAGATTTGGAGTCAGGATCTATTGAGAGATTCTTTGCCTCGTCTTGCAAGGCAAAGCACAAAAGTTATTTAAAATTACCTACTACTATATAAAAAAATACATACCCAAACCTTCTGATTCAAACAGGCAGGTATCATCCACCCCTACATCTCTGCACCAGGATAAGAAATTTGCTGTGTTGTCCCGTGCAAAAAAAGACCCTGAAGGAGCATTGGCTTTGCATGGAATCTTCCGTACTGGTAAGGTCTGAAAAACAGAAGTTATCTATTTAGATAAATGACACATGCCAGCATAATAATTCAGTATCATAAAATCAATATGCTGGTTTTGCATACATTGGTGACTGCCACCAACATATTTCCTTGTCTATTAAAGAATTCCAAGCAAAGAAGTGAATTTAACAGCATGAAGTTCTCAACCATGAAGTTTCTTCAAAAGCATCACGATAGGCTATGTGATGTGAAGTTCAGAGCTGAATCAATGTTAGAAACCTCTTGGGGATATTAGAAACTACAATTTTGGGATTTAATGTTTGGTAAAGTTCAGTCAAAAAAAAAAAAGGAATAATTTTATAAAGACAGACTTTAAACTACGAACTGAAATTTCCCAATATTAAGGGTGAATAATTTCAGATCTAAGTCAGGAGGGAATCACAGTGTAAAGCTCTAGTCTTGAGGACTAGAAACCATAAACACTTCAGAAACGCCACTGTCTCCCATTTAACAACTCCCGGAAGCCCCCCTGCACACAACACAGAAAAGTAACCTGGTAGCTACAAGATCAAGGTCTAACACAGAGCCAGGCTCTCATTGTATCAGAGCAGTTCCATTCTGGTGATTTTGATATCAGAGGAGATGCTACTGGTATAGCATCTCAGCGTCTGAGCCAGAGTAATTACCACAGCAAGCTTTTTGCTTGTATTGGTACATTTATTGAGACACATACAAAGAATACTTTAGCATTTAGTTCTCATTTAAGGTTTCTTTTCCTTAAATGAAAAATAGCCATCACCCATGGCAAAAAGAAGAAAGAATGAAGCATTGTTACTATGTAACTTTAGAAACCTCTAAACCATGGAGATCTCATGTTGATTTGAATGTGCTGCTTTTCTATTAAGTTGATTTATTAAATACTTGCTTCTCTTCTGGAGTCAGTAGTTACTCAATGGCAAGTGAGCTAAGAGGTAGAAGACTGAAAATGGTGTCTCTACTAGTTCCTAGATCTACATCCAAAATTCTGTTTTTAACTGTCCAAAATAGTTCTTGGAAATGTGGAGAGGGGAAAAAAGACACAGGAGTAGACCTCCCCTTACAACAGCTGCTGGTAGCATACTAAAGTCAGTATTTCAAGAGAGCTTAGAAAGAGTTTACATATGATTTTATATTAGACATATGATAGCAGCAATATAATTGCAGAATACATCTACATGCACAGAACTACTCATCTCCATATATCTGATAAACCAAAAAACTGGCAAATAGAATGGCTACAGAGATAAATACTATCCTACTTATTGTCTCAATATGTCAATGAGAGTGTATAAATTGCTTTAGACATATATACATGCCTTATAAATGTTTAGACCTACTCCTCAGATCACCATCTAGCTCTCATTCCCCCTTGATTCTTATTCCAATTGCACTTTTTTTTACATTTTCTTGTTTTGCAAAAGATAAGGTTATGTTTCAAAATATTTATAAGGGATATTAATACTTCTCTATATTGTATTAGCAGAAAACACTGACCATTTTTACATATTTTAAAGGCAAATCCAGGTAAACCTTGTGTCACAGACACCACATCACCCCCTGGACCATCCTGGAACAAGGGAGGGGAAGGAAAAAGAAAGTAGGGAAATAAAGACAGGTATTCACTAAGTCCAGAATAAGTAAAACCCAACGAAACCTGAATTCTTCCAAGGGGCTTTAGATATGGAACAACCTTACAGATCAGAGCACAAGGAACTTGTTAACCATTATTTTAATTCTCTCTCCTTTCTTTGGGGGGGGAGGAGTAGGAAAAAAAAAAATGCTCAGTTCCTCACAGACCAAGGCTTTTTTCTTTTCTTTTTTTAAAAAAAACACAAGCTATTAGCACTAGACACATTTCTCTACTAGCACCCTTTTTACCTCACACTAGTTTCTTCAAAGAAACAATGAGTATCTGTACCCTGAGGCAAATTCTCGTCATACTCTACAGACAGCTTCACATGTTGAACTTCACCTTGTGACTTACAGCCTTTAGGAAGAAGTAACACTGCATTTGTCCGTCTCTGCCCCCCCATATCCTTTCTCCAGAGATGTTAATCGGACAAGTCTAATAGTCTTAAAAGAGCACCCACTTCTGTTAGAAGGAGTCACACAAATTGTCTGTCAGCCTGCTGGAGGAAGGTCAACTAGTCCAGCCTGCATTCGGACAAAAGCTGTCAAAACAAGCCTTTTGTTTCACAATTTCCTATTAAGATCTTACACAAAACATTGCAAAAACCTTGAAGAAGTTCCTTCACCAAAATAATTTCCGCAGCAGAGGTCTAACCTGACCTTACTTCCTCCGGTGCAGAACAGGAACAAGCAGTGTGGGCAGGGATGCTCGACTGCCCAACAGCAGCATGAAGCAAGATGGGAAACAGGCAGGAAGCAGCAAGAGCTGGGCTGCTCCATGATGGAAGATCAGCCAGGAGCCAAAGGTGGCCCCAGCACAGGTGGTGGCAGCCCTCCCCTGCAACGGCATGGTCCCACAGCATCCGAGTAAGGCAGTGCTGGTGACAAGACAGCTTTAGCTGACCGTCCCGTGACAAGATGAGGTGACAAGTCAGGTCTAGTGTCTCTCCAGGAAGATGCGTCAGACACAGCAGCAGACAAGGCTGGAGGCAAGGCCACAGTAGAGGCCGAGACTCCATTCATGAAGCCCCAGCAGTGGGAAACAAGGCTGGAGATGATCTGGCCACGATGTGGCTCCAGGAAGAAGTGGGGCTGAGGTCAAAGGGAGCTCCTGAGCCATGGGCAGAGTGTGCAGGTTGGGGTCCCAGGTGAGGCTGGTCACAACTATCAAGGTATTTTGGTTCCCTCAGGTCCTGACAGCAACTATTGTGTGTTTTTCAGTATTTTGGTGGAATCAGTCCCTTCAGAAATACATTGCTAGCTTGTAATCAGCTCTGTCTTGTCTGTAGACTGAAAGAGGTGCCATGTCACAGCACTGTATCTTAATCTGATTAAAAGTCCACTGTACATACAACATACTTGATCATATTGTCACAGAAACAAACTACCAGCAGCTATATAAGTTTAAAACCATTAAAAAAACCAAACAGAATGAAATACTTTTCCAATAATACCTCTGCTCAGACCAGACTGTCTGAACATGGATGTTGAACTGAGTTAACAGGTCAACATAAGACCAAACAAATTATATCTGACAAAACTATACTCTTTGGAATTTTTGAATGACTATATCCACGTTAAAACACAAGTCCTGGATGACCTTATAACGGGTTAGCAGCGCTGGGACAGGAACAAGATGACAAAAAGCCAGCTCCAGTACTCCTGGCACTTGCAGATTTGTACATAAGCTAGTTCAGAGAGCATGGAAAGGAGATAAAGATACAGTTGTTTTTTGTCTGAACGCACACCTGCAGTGTCAGATTACGTCACCTCCCTGTTCACTCCTCCGTTCTTATCCCTGCATTTTCCCCAATGCTTATATATTGCTTTGCTTTCAGGCTCTCTTTTGCAGAAATCTAGAGAGTCTTCTCCAAGACAAAAACTGTTTATCAGCCCAGAAGGGCATTACAGGTGAAATCAGACCAGGTTTGTTTCCTTCCACTCAGTTCTTCAACTCCAGACCAGCCATTTCTGTGCCTTTAAACTACGTTGTCCTGCCACATCCCCTGATGACCCACCTATATTCTTTCACGTCATGCTATGGGTATTAAATGCTGTTCTGGAAGTCTGTGATAAAACCTGCATATTATTTCAGGAAATTTGAACTAGAAAAAAAAACAAAAAACAAAAAAACACACACACAAAAAAAGAGAAATATTGTGCTATATGGCTGGTGGATGCCACCTGGCAGTCACAGCAGGCTTGGGTCCAGTGTGGGCACAGCTGATCTGCTCTACTCAGCCCTGAGCAAGTCTGCAGGACCGGTCCTGGAGAGCAGGCACTGCTCCTTGGCACCGCTGCCCGCAGCAGTATGAAAGCAGCTGGAAGCAAGCAGACAGCCAGGAAAACCTAAACTGCCTTTCTTATAAGGGGCTGTTGGGAAGACATTGCCATGCCTGGCAGGAACACAGAAAACCGCAGTTTTCCCCTGGGTCGCTGCTGCTCCCCAGTACTAACAACAGGTGAATAAATCTGGTTCTAAATATTTCATGTCTTCCGATTTAGGTAATGACTGAATATAGAAATGCTTTCAATAAAAGCAATTCAGAACAGATGGTTTGTGTGTCAGAAATCCGTGCAGTTCGAGTCAGCAAATAAACCATCTAAAACTTCATGTACGTAACGGACTACTCATAAATTACGCTTCCCTACCTTGACAACTAAGACAGACCTTTAAACACGTCAGTCAACCCAGTGCCACTGTGCAACTTCGACATTTACGGAGCTCTCAACATTTCTTCTACATTTATAAAGATCACGGTGTCTATTAGAAGTACAATTTTGTAGTAACAGCTACTGACAGCAAATATTAAGAGCCTAGATACAGAAGTATCACACTTAGCTAATAAAACTTGTGATATTCTCTAGTTTCATAGAGAAAGAAGAAATGTCTGATTAACAGGTGCCCTAAGCAACTCCAAATTGACAAACGTCCAAATGTAAAAACAAGGCATGTCCTGGACTATAGAAGGGGAAAAAACTTACACTTTTGAAGGGAAAAAAAAAAAAGCTTTAAGTCATTTTGTGGAACAAATACTACATAAATAAATATCTCTGGCATCACATGATCTCACTGAAATGTAGCATTCTATATTTCATCCAATTTCCCACAATTTCCAGTTTCCCCTGAAGAGACCAGCAAAAACTCTCTCCATTCAACAACAGCATGATCAGGTTTATCACAGAAATCATAGAGAAATACTTGTATTTTCTTATCACCTAATAAATTTCCCTACCACCTTTTAAATAGAAGCCTACTTTTTTAACATTTGCAAAACTATCACTGTAACGTTCAACCTATAACACATGAAAGCTCTTATTTAAGAAAGGTTTCATGCACAAATATGTTTTACTGATTTGTATAAA